ATTTTCTTCCATTTAACACACAGCAGGTCCTCTTCAGAAACTGTTGTCACTAAAATAAGTAGTGCATCATTTAAAACAGCTGAACATCTTCTGGTGTCGTCGTCCTCTTTTCTCGCAGGGAGCACTAGAGAGGGAGCAGCTGGACAAGCAGCGAGCCGAGGAAGATGCTTCTGATATGAGAGATGCCTTACAGAAGGTACAGACGTGACACCGAGGACGTGTCCGTCCTCAGAGGAAGACTCGTAGCTTTACTCATTTGCATAGAATGACGTTCCGGCTGCCATCTTTGTCTCATCAGTCCAGGGAGTGCGTGTCGCGTCTGTCGTTGCAAGAGAGCGCATTAAGACGGGAGGTGGAGGAGGGACGGGATGCGCTAGACAAGCTGTCCGCCCTGAACTCTTCTTTGGCCTCGGACAAGAGAGAGCTGCACAAACAGCTGCTGCAGGTACTCCTCCCTACACGCCCCCTCGCTGTGGCTTCCAGCTTTAGTACATCATGTAAGTCAGTTCACGTGTTTGTTACCAGCTGGAGTCTGAGCTGTCAGAGGGCCAATCACAGCTGCAGGCTCAAAGGTCACAAGTCAGTTCGCTGGAGAGGGAAGTCAAGACCCTAAACATGGATTTCAGCGAGCTCAGGTGAGATCAGTTTGCACACAAGTCGTCAGGCAGAACAGTAAAGTTAATTTGATTTTAATCCTGAATAATTAGAGTGTGAATTTGTCTGTTAGAGTACAGAGAGAGGCTGAGGAAGATGCTGTTCAGCAGCTGAGAGAACGAGAGCCAGAGGAAGACGGGAGCTTTCCCTCTGTGGGTGACCTGTCCTGTCAGCATGCCGCAATGTGTGAGGAGCTGAAGGAGGTGCAGGACCGGCTGGGGCACGCAATGGAGGAGGTGAAAACTAGGAGCATACAACAGCAGGAGCAGCTCAGAGAGAGTAGGCGGCTACAAGAGGAGCTGGATAGTCTGCAGAAGCACAAGGAGCAGCTCGAAGTTGATCTGCAGGAGATCCGGTGCTGAGCGCACGAAATAAAATCAGGATTTGTTTGTACGGGTCGCATCATACTGACATCCTGGTTCTCTCTCCGCCTGCAGGTCTCTGTCGCTGTCTGCCCACCAGCAGCTCAGTGAGCAGCAGAAGCGTCTCTCGCAGTCAGAGGTGGAAAAATGTCAGCTGAACACACACATCCACACTCTGAAGCAGGCCAAAGACACCTTACACGGTCAGTGACAGCACGCCTAAAGTCTTAATATCAAAGATCTTGCTTAAAAGAAGAATAATGAAAACATATAAATGTGGCAATTCAAACCAAATTCCAAAAAAGTGGTGAAGATATAAAAACAGAATGCAGAACATTTTATTCACGACATTAAACACGTTTGAACTGTTTTAGGACCACTATTAGTCGGTAACACATGTCAACAAAGGTGGCATCAAAAGGCTGAAAAATAAATAGCACCAAAGATTTTAGCTTAATTGGCAACATGATTGAGTATCAAAAGACATCTTAGAGAGGCTCTCTCCCAGGGTGATTGTAGTGACTGGGCCCCAGAGCCCCTACACCCCACCTCCACAGGTTTGCAGCATGGCTTTAACTAGAGATGCACGATACCACTTTTTTATGTCCGATACCGATATCATAAATTTGGATATCTGCCGATA